GACAACATGATTGTATTTTTCGACAGGCTCAGAATTGGCATAAATGAGATAGAGATGAGAGTAGGGAATACCAGAAACGGCGTGGTATTACTCAAAGATTAGAAGAAGCTATAATAAATAATGATACTAGAAAGCAAGCTCGTATTAATATATTAGTACAGAAAAAGTTTGCTTTTCAGCTAATAAATAGAAATTCCTAACAAATTATTTTTAATCTACAGAATAACCTGCCAAATATACAATAAATAGGAATGGTAGGATATGGACCCCAATATTTTATGGACGTTCTGAAGAAGATCCAGAAGATTTCCTTAGAGATTTTCAGAGATATGTAGTAGCTAGTTAAATAAATGTAGCTTCTGGAGCAGATCAGGCCACTGAAAGAGCAGAGGCTTTAGGTTTATTAATATCTTATCTTGAAGGACCTGCTAAGCAATGGTATGAAACTCGCATCAGAAGCAAGAATTGGAAATGTAGTAATATCTAAGATAATTTAGATGTAGCTGATTTAACTGCAGTTAGAGCTTTGGCCACCAGAAATGGTGGTAATCAAATTGGTAGTTTGAATACTGCTGGAGAATTTCAAGGTAAAGCTGGTACAGAAATTGGTAGAATTAGTGCAGGTGTCGCAACTGAAGCTGGTAATATTCTGGGGTGAAAACCGGTCTATTGCAGGTGGTGAACCTATAAATAATGCGCCAGTAGCCCCAAATGCTGGTGATGGTTTACCTGCTGTTACAATAGCACCTAACATAACACTCAGCCAACTTTTATACTTACTCGAAACTGCTTATACGACTGTTGAATACTTAAAACAGACGGATGTTTTTGGTCAACTTATGCAAGGAGATATGAGTATTGAAGAATTTTCTGCCTGAATCAAAAAGATCGGTAAATTAGCTGAAATGACTCCAGAACAACAAAAAGAGCAATTAATTCGTGGCTTAAGTTCTATGAACCAGTATAATCTTTGAATGATGGCTAAGTTTCATGATACACATGATAATATTACAGAAGCATTAGCTGAAGCAGAAAAATTTACATTATCTCAAAAGAATGCATCATCTTCTATTCCAGTTTTTCCAGCATCTAGCCCCTATATAGATACTAATAGATCAGGAGGTGGGATGACTAAAAATGAAATCGAAAGCTTGGTAAAAAATACAATAGCATCCTCAGAATCCCAACGGCCTCAACAAGTGGCTTCATTGCAATTCCAACTACATCTTGCAGGAACATATAAAAATTTACGAGATGAAAATGTAGGTAGATTTTTATTATGGATTACAGGAGAAACCCCAGAATTTGTTTCTGTTCTTAACCCTACTTTGCCACCAAAGCCAAAGAAAAAGGTTGAAGTTAATTTTGATGAAGAACTTGCTGAGCTTACAAAAAAGCAGTTAAAGCTTCATGTAGCTAAAGCGGTTAAAAAAGCTGTGAAGGCGTAACAGTGGTGCTCTAACTATAACTGAACTGGACATAATTCTCACAAATGCATTCAAAAGAAGAAAAAGAGGTCTAAGAAAGCTAAAATTAATCTTGCTACTATAGATTTGGGTTCTAATTTAGATTCTAGTACCTCCTCTAGCGAATTAACATCTAGTGATAGTTCAGATTCTGACATAAGTTCTTTCGATTTTGGAGGTGATATTATTATTAATATTGCCAAGTCAAAAAAAAAGTAAGATGTGGCAGGAAAAAAGACTTTTCTAGTAATAAAAGCCCTAAGATTGTAAAAAAGCCACGCAAGACAAAATAGGGCTAGAAGCGCTAAAGCATGATCAGGAAAATAGTGATGCTAATTCTTTTTTAACCAGAGCTGGTCAGGAAACTATTCGTAAAATAGTTTAAAGTAAGCTTAGTTCTACCCTTTAAGAAGAACTTAAAAGATCCTTCCTCTATATATGATTCAAGCCTTCCGCTAGATACTAAGAAGCTAGATCAGGAAAAAAACATCAAATCTAAAACTAATGAATTTTTATCTTTCTGAGAATCAGCTCCTGCGGACTTAAATGAAGAAGAGACTTTAGATGATCCGATAGAAATTGATTTCGTTCAGAGAAGGGAGCCAAAAACAAGTATTGTGACGATAAAGTGTAAAATCAAACGTTTAAAGATTCCAGTCATGACAAGTTGACTCTAAAGCTAAGCCTCCCATTATAACAGAAAATATCGTTGAATGCGTGAGAGCTAAAATTGATAAATCTGAAACACATGATCTCAGCGGTATTGCTACTGTTCTAGTTGAATCTGTTGGAGTTGTCCACAATTTACCTGTTTCTCTAGCCCCAGGTTGTACTATTTATGAAGATTTTATCATAGTGAAATACTACAAGCCGATGCTTATATTTTCCAACCAACTTTTAAAGAAATACAATTACGCATTGGATTGGAAAATGAATGAACTAAAGATCCCTTTTAATGGGAAAGACTATATTATTCCAGTCACTATGCATAAGGTCAAGAACAAACTCGAGGTGAATTGCATGAACATTACTCCTGAATGTGATGATCTGCTAGCTTTAGACAAGATTTCTCAGGACCCACAGGACTTGAGAAGCATTTTAACGGCAAGTGAGAATAATGATACATTAAAAAAAAGTGAGTTATAAAGAGTTCGAAAAAATGTTATATGATTCTCTCAAGTCTAAAGCTGAATTCAATGATGCATGTAGAAGATTGCAGATTCGTTATAATAAGCTATTAAGTAGTAGCCAATAAGCGAGCTGTCTCTGCTTTATTTTTTTCATCTTCCTTAACATTCTTTTTATAAAATACTCTTAATTCTTCCCCATGTAATCCTTTACCCTGAGTGTTTTCGGCTGAGTTTCCCAGAGTTAGCTTAGTCTGAATGGATTCAAAAGGGATAACATCAGGCGATTCAGAGATATGAACAGATTTAGCTTTTATATTCCTTCCTCCAGTCTTTTTTGCCTTATTTTCAGGAATAATAATACTCGAGGACTTGTGGAGGTCCATCTTTTCTCCATAGAATGAATTAGTATTAGTTGATACTATCTTTTTAGAATCTAAAGGTAGGTCTGTTGGTGGATATGATACCATCTCTTTAGGATCTATCGGGAGATGAACTTCTCTCCATATTTGGTATACCCGCTGAGATGATATTTTATATTTGTTTGCCATAACTTCTGATACTCGCTTCATTGATTTTTAGCACCAATAATATCCTGAATATCTTTTTCTGATAAGTGAGTTGCATCTAAGCGTAAGTAGCAATTTATTTTTCTTATAGTTAGAAAAAATCTGTCGATAAATATTCAATATACATTCAATATGTATATTCAGTACACATTTGATATACATTCGGTACATTCGATATATATCCAATATGTTCAGTGCATTTAGTGTATTCAGTGCATTCAGAACATTCAGTATGTTCAATGTGTCTGAAATATATCTGATATATATCTGATACGTATTATACATTCAGTATATCTAAAACATTCGATAGATATTCAGTTCAGAAATTTCAGTCATATTTTTTTCTACTATAGTAGTAGTTAAGTTGAAAAAAAAGACCATGAACAATATACATACCTTGAGAAATGTCAATAAAAAAAGTAATACCCCAACTGTAATTGGGCATCGACTTGGTATTGCATATGAGCAAGAACTTGAAGAGAAGTTATATTCTGCTCTCAGCTCTAAGACCGAACTTAGGATCTCAATGGAAAGTTGGTAGATAAGTGCAATGAGTAAAAGAAGAAGTTTCAGCGGACCTATGCTGATATTGGAAAGAAGATTAGCCAGTTAAATGTGTTTAGCGTTAAAGTTAGATCCCAACTTATTTCTAAATGGAAGTCTCATTCTGAGAGTCAACATGAGCTTGAAGCCAAATATACAGCCGAAATCCAATCGCTCAAATCAAAGATTAAAATACTGAAGAGAGAGAACTTTAGCTCAGAAAGCTTCGTCTGTTAACAAGGACTAAATTCTTTCTCTTGAAGTTAAAATATGAGAATTGAAAGGTAAGTTAGATGACTTGGAACTAGAACAAGCATTCCATGATTCTCTCAAGCTTGAATTGGAGTGAGTGAATGAAGACCTTAATTCAAAAAAACATGAAATAGAATATATAGAAAAAGGGATAGAGTTGTCAGATAGCATATACAAATGGGAGCTAGATATTCGCTCTTTAGAATGATTAAAATTGATGGAAGAAAATAGGTTCCTTAGAGACCAGCTAGCATTAAAGAAAGAGCTAAGAGGCATTTCGCATAATGAAGTAGATCCTTCACCTCCACCTATGAATAATTTAACGTAAAAGATTCCAGGTTGGTTTAGTGATAATCTAAGACCCCCTCGTCCATGAGCTTGGTCTTAAAGATAAAGTTATGAAATTCAATAAAAGTTTTTCTAGAGAAAATATATTAGAGACTTTGCAAGAGCTATTACCCTGAAAAGGGGTTGCGAAACAATTGGGTAGCGCAGAAGTAGTAGCATCATCTCAAGTAATGCCTCTAAAGGGTCCCTCTAGAACTGCACCAGCTATTCCTACCATTGAAAGTTCCTTTATGTCATATGCCATACTTACTTTATTTCTTCTTGTAGTTATATGGATTGTTGGGAAAAAAATATGGGATTTATAGAGTGATAAGCTGAAAGAAAAAAGTAATATCCCTTCTAACTGAAATCATTTTTTATCATCTCCGGGCATTTCTGAGACTGGATTATATGATTGGAGGTCAGAAGTTCAAAGATAGGAATTGAAGTTAGCTGGTATTATTGCACGAGAAAAAATATATAAATAATATTATACAAAGTGTCTATGACTAAGTTCTCTTAGCTGGAATTGCCAGATCTCGCTAAGAATACTTAACTATATAATTCGATGATCTCATTTATATCAACTTCAGATGAATCATCTTTTTTATCATCATATAACTTTGATAATATTCGATAGCGTGAAATTTCTAGGCCAACTACTTTATACCATGTGTTTTGCAAATCAGCTAGTAATTTACACTCATCCAAATAATATAATAAATACTGTTCTATGATCATAGCTTTTGATTTGTGCTTACTGGTCTTAATAACTAATTTATACATACTGTCTCTATACTCTATATCAATCTCAGAAATTTCTTTAAGCAATGATGAAAGTTTTAAGCAGATAGAATCCTCTTGCTTATTTAACACATTGAGGAAAGGAGTGTAATAAGCATTATTTTCTGAGCATTTTACTATTCTATCAGCATAAGTAGTATCAAATAAAGTTTTTGCATAAATGCAGGCCTCTCTTCATAAATGAGATATGATGGCTTTGTCTTTTTTCAGGCCTTTATAGAGGTTTTTAATATAACCTCTAACCCACTTTTCAGCTGATTTCTATGCTAAAGCATCTCTTATTTTTGATACCTCATCTTCATCCATTTTATCTTCATCATCTTCGTCTTCGTCTTCATCTTCATCCAGGTTGTCTTCATCCATCCCACCATTATCTGCTTTATTGTCATCTGCTTTATTACCATCTTTTAACTTTTTTAAGGCCCCCAACACAATTTCAGATGATGGCTGATATCTTTCATTATAGTTAATAAATCGTGCATAGAGACTGACAACAGTTTTCAGATAATAGCTAATATCAATTTTTTTACCTAATCGCTTCACTACCTCTGGATACTCCATTTTATCCCCTACCCTCTGGCCAGAGGTTCTTAGGCATGATGAATCATTCTCAACTACAATATACTCAAAGCGTTCGCCTGGTTCTGAGATTTCATAAAGATAAGGCTCAGGTGTTAAGCCCTTTTTTATGAGCCATTTGGCATTTGCTTCTTCACGAATGTATCTATCTCGCATTCGTGAAATGAAACGCTAGACACTCTTGTTATTTTTATCAGGCTTCCACACAGCAGTTTTAATCATTTCATTAAGTTCTATCTGTGAAATATTATTTATGGTCTCTTTGAGCATATCCTTCACAATCTGACATAAGGTGCGTGTATTATTCAGTCTCATAATTCCTCTATGACCTTCTTACCCATCTCATAAAAGTGTTTAGACTGTTCCCGCTTTACAATCTCAACCCCTCAGATGAAAAGCTTGTTATTAAAATTCAGCTTACTTTTATGTGGGATGTCATAGTACTTTTTCTTTCCAGTAAATACTACTGAAAATAAGACTTCCTCATATGCTATTTTAAGATATAACGATCTATTATCTTTTCTAAGAAAGTCATTAACTTCATCGCAAAGTTTCTCCATCACACCCATAGAGATGTTTACCATTCTAGACCAATATTCTTCTTTCAAGATCTTATTACTGCTGTCATATATCTCATCGCATTCTTGAAAGCACCTTTCTGGAGGAATTAGATACAATGAAAATGAATCAGTATCACCATATTTTATCTGAAAATCCTTACTTTTAACAAAGTCTGCGACAAATTTGATATTTCTCTGTCCAGCTGATGTGACGCTTCCAGCTAGTGCTCGCAAGAAGAAGGGGAATTTACTATCTCTAGCAGTACCATAAAATGTATTCATGTATACCTTAAGAGCATATTGTTTCACATCTAAGCAAGAGCAGTCGAAACAAATAGAATCATACATCAGTAAATTTAATAATGCGAAGTATTACGTAAACCCTACGCTTCGTAATCTTACATAAGGTTACGAGTCCGTTGAAAAACTTACGTATCGTAGTACTTCGATATTTTACGATGTGTAATATTTCGAACGTTTACGATATATAAACTTTCGAAGGTTTACGATGCGTAATATGACGAATCG